TGTTTTAGAAAAGTTAAAGTGCTAAGGTGAAACATTAAAGTGTAATAGATGAAGTGAGTGAAATATATCATTAATAAACACATTTATATAGAAAACAGAATGGGAAGTAATTAATCCTTAGGCCGACAACGTTCATTTGCAATATATAATAAAACCAATATATTTCATACTGTTATTTTCGATTTTTTTGATTTTTTATTTTTGATTTACAGCTTGATTCCACACTGTATTTTCGGTACAAGTATGGAATTTTCAGCATGGACATCGGTAGCCCAAATTTTGCAGTCCGACCATAGATATCAGTTGTGCGTCGGCGTGGGTTCGAACCTCGGTCCATGTGCATGGTCGGCGAGAGTCCTAAGCACTGTGCCACCGACGCACGGTGGTGTCCACTTTTAACTTTAATACAATTATTTTCAAGCCAGTTGTTTTATTTCATGCCTTTTTTATTTGGTGTACAACCGTACCCTTCAGAGAAAAGGAATAGAATAAGTCGAATCAAATTCATAAAGAGCCATAAAATGTTAGGTTTAATGGAATATAATGATGATCAAGTAAAGACGTTATTAGAAAATAAGTGAGACAAGATATTGTGAAGTGGTATTTAAAGATCTGACAATGGATAGCAAGTTAATTCATAAGATGCCCCATAAATCTGTGCAGATCCCGCGTGGTCGCATCTCAACAATAGGCTGAGCGAATGGTATATATTTAAAGGTAGAAGCATGATCTGTCAAGGCATTCATTATTATCTTTTTCAAGATAAAGATCTAAGCCCTCATAAAAATCAGAAATATCTCCAGCCTTCAAATTTCATATTGCTGTTCCTGCAGAATGGGGTGATTCACCTTAGTAACCACCACCATATCTACTGATCAGCTAGCGCCACCCCCCTCCTTCGTGTAACCTTAAACTTATTAAATAGTCAGTAGAACAATTGGATCTCGTCTTTCCAACTCACATCATTTACAGGTACAACGTTTTCTCTCTAGCATCTTTTTCATTCTGTATTTATTTTTGTTATTTGCTGTTTTGTTTCTCTCTTCCTTGCCAACTCTACTTAAAACATTCTTGTTCGTTCTTTCACACTCTGTATATCTCGACCATTTTGCTATCGCTTACGGCAGTAAATATGCTAGTAGTATCTACTTTTCTAACACCTTTGAACACTCTGTCTTAATTTTGGCTTTGCTAACGACATGCTAATATGTTGTTGTCAAAACTGACTGAGATAACTTTAATCTATGTAGAACTCTATTTTTTGCTAACGTACTAGCTGGATGCAATATTATAATAAAAATGCTGAGAATTCCATTCTGTATCACAAGTACTGATACGGAATAATGCTTATCTTATCTTAGTAAACCTCTTGGGCTGAATATGGCCATTCTCAGCACCCGACACTGCCTTGTTATGCATGATAGCTAGTTTGTTAAGCATGCATTTTGTTTTGCGAGTGTTGATCGTTCAATACGCACCGTATTTTCGCCGACGAAATCTTTGTTCCCATTCTAGTAGCGAAATGTTTTGGCCTCGGATATTGAGAATATCTTTACGATTGGATAGTCGGCTTACTATAATTATTATAGAAAAATCCAAGTGTCTTCAAACCTAAATAAACTGGCAGACTTTAAGTTAACTTTGTCTCGGATTTCTCGATTTTGCTGCGATTTTATTTCGCATATATAACTAGCGTTCATACCATATATCAATACGTACAGAAACTTACAGATATCAGGCCAACGTGCCTAAACGGCGTATCTGCATATAGATCACAATCATCACCAATAGATCGTCACCGATCCTCGCTCACATTAAACATTTACACTCATGAAGTAATAAGCCACTACTAAGTTATTAAGACGGTTTTCCTGAAAACACGGTTTTTATAACCGTCACTGTCTAGATTAACTCTTCATTGATGTCCAATTATAAAGCAGTTCTACCACGGTTACAGAAAATGGCTTATTAAAATGTCAACGGTCTCTTCTCGTCTAAACTGAGATTGTGAACTACACTCAGTTTCTTGGATTGGAACAGGTAGTCAGATGTGAAAAGCGAACTATGAGAAAACAGATTTCTGTAGCACTGCCAAGTAACTCAGGCCCACAAGCTTTCTAATTCTTCCTGCAGACAAATACATACATACATAGATAAACAAAATGATTAGAAATTTTCAGAGTTCAGATCGACAGAATAGTTCAACCCTGCCTTACTGGCCAATCAAACAACTAACATGCGTCACATATTCACAGGTACTTATAATCCATCCACCAAAGACCTGGTTTTTTGTTAATGCGAAGACAATACTTCTGTATTTCCTGATGTGTTGCACTCACTGACAATCTAGCGGATTTTTCCAACTGGGCACAGAAATGATTGTACATAAGTGAAAAGGATGTTTTATACTATTGGGATTAACATTTATCAAGTGTATGTATAATCTCCAGAGTACATGTAAAACATATTTTGCTATCGACCGTAAATTGTGATTGAATAATATGATCTTATTTCTGTAACAATTTGATGATGCCTGTAAACTGGCATCCCTCATGTACTGTATCATGAGAATAAATTTATTTATTTATTTAAAAACATTCGTTTCTGGATAAAAAGTAATTGATCTTCGAAAACATCCAAAATTGTTGACGGCGAAGTTAAACTTTCGACACCACTAATTACCAATCAGCGAATTATCCAATGAGATTCACGAAGGATGTCGAATTATCCAATGAGGTTCACGAACGCAGTTCAATGTTGTATAGCGCTTGATTGATTTCTAATGTGTGACGTTACAAAGCTATTGTTGCAATTCGAGTAGGTTAGCGTTTTCCAGTATTTCCTGGATTTGAGTTGCTCCAGAAAGAGCGAATTTGTTTGTGTGGTGGTATCATGACTTTAAAAACCTATACCAAATCAACTGATGGGTTTGTTCATCGTTGTGCTATATGTTTGAAGCCTACTAACGCTAGGGAGAGTAAGCTGATAATTTTAATATTTCGTAGGAACTTTTTTCGCTAGGTCGCTTCTCTCCCTAAGGATAGCAGATAGAAGAGCAACTACTCTTATACCTATTATTACCAGACTTGTTAAGCGGGGGTCAATTCTGCACACCGACAAGTGGAAAGGCTACAATTCACTGTCATCTCTGGGATATATTCATCATAGAGTCAACCATTCAAGTGATTTTGTGGATCCCGTTACGAGGACACATACAAATTCTATTGAAGGATTTTGGGGCAGGTTGAAAAAAAGGACAAGGGCTATAAATGGATCTCAAAGGGATCTCATTTATAGTCATTTGGATGAATATATGTACAGGATATGGTGTAACTTCTCCATTGACAGTCCCATGCTAAACTGGGAGATGTTTCTCTCACATGTTCGAGAAAGATATCCCATGTAACTTTTTTATTCTCTATTTTATGCTTTTTTCTACAAATATACATTTCCATTCATCATATATGCCTCTTTAATGTGACTGGCCCGTTCAAGGTCGTTTGCTGATTGGTTGTTAGTGGTGTCGAAAGTTTAACTTTGCCTAGTTGACGGTGATATGCTCACTCCTTTCGAGCGGCTTTTGACGGCTTAGAAATTATGAATAATCCAATTGTAATGTAGTAGGATGCGGCAGTAGAGTTCGGTTAGTGAAAATCATAATTCCTCATTGGAATAAATTTATTCGCCAATAGTGTGATTAGACGCAGAACGTGTTGCTATTTGGCAGCAGTAGAGAAGAACTTCCAAGACTGTTTATGAGAGAAATATATTTACGTAACAGCTGGGACCTTTCTGCCAAGAAAACATCGTACAAACCAAAATTTCAAATATCAGGAAAATAAAAGATTTGAAACGAAATAATGACAGGCTTAACTAGGGCAAAATATTTGACGAATTGGAGTTGGACTGCAGAAAGGTGACATTTATGGAATAAGCAAGTTGACAGAGGCTTTTGCATTTCAAATATTAGGCACCAACAAGAAACGGAGAAGAATTGAGACTTTTCTCAAGTGATGCTTAATGATTGTCCATCGACGTAATGGTGTTTGGGAAATGAAGGATGTTGACGATTTTGCAAGATGTGCTGCATGTAAGCGTAAGTTATTAATCTCCATCTTTCGCAGCACTTTTCCAGCTGAAATCGAAACAAATAAACTGATTGTCTAAAATACAACATATCATGGGATCAAAGTTATAATTAGTTGATAATTGCTCGGTTAGTCAGAAATGCTACACGAAAAACCAGACAACATGGCAGTGCGCTATGTGGCGCGGATGCCTGATAGTGAGCGTTTGGCTTGACAAGTCTTAAACAGGAGCAGCCAGTCATCGTTGAACAACTTTGATGAATTGTTTGTCTCTACAGAATTGTTCCACTCTAATACCCTAGACCACAGATTGCTCTCACCCGCCAAAATTAACACACGATCACTAAAATTTAGTAGAAATCTGGTTCATAAAAAGTGGCCAGACGGGCGAAACTGTGAAAGACAATGCCGCCTCTGTGTAAAACTTGGCAAAATCACTGGGGTTTATGCTGAGACGTACAGCCTGAAAACATGAGGAAACTGTTCCTGTCATCGTCAACAGTTTACCATCGTGTACTACCTGTTTACAAACAGCAATAATTTGTGTGCGAATTCCATTCGCCAGCCGCTGACATCCTAAAGTTTTTCAGTCGGTTTTTGATCTGGTTAACTGATGCAGCTTAACGGAGATGAGAAGATTGTGTATTCAGAAAGAACATCTATAGAATATCCTTTTATTATGCATGAGTAAACCGGAGATTTTATCACTGGGCATATTACGCATACATCCCTCTATTTTGGTATACACATCCTATCAAGATGCCCATGGATACAGTGAAAGGAGATCTTTTTGGCTGAAAACATGCTACGTGGCTATCATTTGATGACAAGCTATATTGTTTGACTGCACCAGATTTGCTCAAGTTTACGAGCGTTATTTGACACTTTGTTTACCCTCAGAATTCGAAAAGGATGTATTTTCGTCTGGCTTTTTCGAGGCTTTTAGTAACCCGAAACTTCATTCATACGTCAAGAGTGATAAGGTGTAAGATTTCTTCAAGAGTTAGTGATACACTTGATTTTCACAGTTCCTGTACAACTGAAGATGCCGTCCTTGTCACCCACAATGAGCGAGGGAAGTATTGTAAATTGGCTTAAAAAAGAAGGTACGATAATAATTCTCAGTAAAAATTCAATATCTTTCAAGGTGACGAAGTTTTGGCTGGGGATGCGTTGTGCGAAGTTCAGACGGATAAAGCTGTGATGACGTTTGAGTCGGATGATGATGGTATTCTCGCTAAAATATTGGTGAGTATATCCCCCTCACAGTAATCATAATGTGACCTAATCATAGCAGAGTTTAAGTATCATGTGCCATGATATGCAAATGCACGAGTGATTTTGAGCCGACCAGTTATAAAACGGATTTCCACCTTAAAAAATGACGGTTTGATATGATATATAAATAGCTCCTTATTATGAAGCGTTTCGGTTTTTAAGTTAGACCAGTTGCTGCACATGTTTTCACTGAGGTGTCTGAAGAGGAGCGTTTATTTTAACACGTTCATCACCCTCAGAATATTTTGCAGTTAAACCAAGAAGCCCTCGGTAGAATTACTCTGGTTTTCAGTAAGAGAACCGACGATTATTTACTAAGATGTGGATAGTAAGATTTATTAAATGATTTCAACCCTAAACATAACCACAATCTTGACCCTAACATTAACACTAACTCTAATTCCAACCCTAACGAGCTCTTAACACACTGTCCAAACAGTAGGTGTAAGCGAGATCGTGTGGGGCGGGGGTGGGGGAATTTACACCTTAATTCTTGAATAGCATTTACATTAACTCTATAATAATAATAACTTCTGTCATCTAACGACTAGTGTGCATTCAGGATCATTGGGACCTTGGCACTCCTGGGGGGGGTGATACTTTAACTTCGCCCTAATGATAAAGTGACACTGAGTTTGCTTTTTTTTTAAAAAAGCTCTGGGGTTAATCCTTCGGGTTTGATTGTATTAGATCATGGACGTCTAGCGAATAAAATACTGCCTAGTACTTAGTTCACTTTCATACTATTTTTCTCCAAGTTATTGCGGATACCTGTCTTATGGCATAAGCTTGATGTATAAGATTTACTCAACTGTACCATGTCATTTTATTTCCAATTGTCGAGTATATGACTGACTGGTTTCAACGTAGAACTTTGCACAGGTGTACACCAGTTCTAGGTGCCACACACCCTCCCTCCATGTAGCACACAAAGCAAGAAAAGAGAGTATAGAGTGATTCAAGACAGACAGACAAACACAGAGAGAAATATGAGGCAAAAAGAATAGTAATATGAAAGAACAATATAGTTTTATTGGATATCACAAGGAGTGGATGCATCTGTACCAGTTAGTCACCATGGAGAACGATCACTTTGAGCCAACCATATTATCAATTGTCTCAAGCCATAGGTTTTTATCGTCCTGTGGACACCAACCAGTCAGTCTACACCTTCCAACGTAACTGGCTGGCTTAAACTAACTGATATGTATTTCATAGACTGATAATAGAGCCATGTTTTGGTTTGAACACCACCACCACTGACTAGCTGTTTTCCAATCTAATTGCACCTGTGTTAGCTAACATCGTCCGTCGGTAGAGGGAGGTGATGGCTAGGCATGCATGTCGTAACCATCTCTCGCAGTCGATGTAAATGCTTCACAGCCTTGTCGATTGATTTCACCTCCTTACCTAGCATTCGACCAATGTCTAACCTTAATACCGCTCACTCTATTATACCACCACGTAACAAGGCAGATAGAACGTGGACACCTAACCGGCAAGGCTTTTTATTTTTGACTTTCAATGGCCATTTCTCACAACCAACCATAAAGGAGGACAAAGTGAAGTGACTAGTGAGCAGTACACACGCTTTCTGATCTACAGCCAACCAGTCGGAAATCTTGTGTACTAACTGGCATATGCGAAACGAGCCTTCTGTATCCGTATCCAGCTGAGATTTTGTCAGCGATCAACCTGTTAGAGCTGAAATCGTAAAGACTTCAGTTCATTGCGAAGTTCTACGTTGAAACCAGTCAGTGAGAAACGAGTTTTTTTTTCGGACGAGTGCTTTGAATTGTTAGCAGCGTTAGGGTTCTTTTTTGACGACGAGGTGGGATGAGTAGGTGGGGGTAGGCGGTAGTGCTAGTTCCACGCCCATTTTTCCAATCTTAAGATTGTCTAATATGCTAGATGAGGTTGTACAATAGATGCGCATAAATTCGTTGAAGAGTATGTAAGGGGGTAAAGAGAAACAGAAGTATTAAAAAATTTGCGTCTACTTTTCATGTGCGTTCAATAGAGTATATTTGCTACTCCGTATAACTTTCAAGAAGATGCGGGAGGGGATTACAACATATTGACTATTGATTTCGATTATTATGTGCCATATATACATACATATACATATACATATAAACATACCTTGGTACCAATCTATGTGGCCATGATTATATTATTATTATTGTTTCATTTAATTCCTAGAGGAACATAGGGCCTTTCTTATTTTACTTTACTTTGGCTATCTCCTACGGGAGGATGAGACGGCTTCATGAACATCTCGAATCATCCCTGCCCAGGCGCGGCGATCTGATGCAAGGTTTTCCGACAGGGTTATCCAATTCTTGTTCCACAGACGGAGTCCGTAGACGGTTTGTAGCCCCAACCCAGTCACTCCATATCAACCTTGACTGACTGTACCAAGCCATGTGTTTTTCAGCTGTCCACCCCTGCGACATCGCCAAGATGGAAATGGGAATGGCGAGGGATTTAGAACTGATTTGACCAGATCGTCATCTGGTCGGCTCAGAACATGGCCAAACCACCGAAGGCGACGTTGTTCGACCAATACTTGAATTTGGTTGATGTTGTAGCAACGACGACGCACTTCTTCGTTGGAGAGTTTGTCCTGCCAACGAACATGCAGGATGTACCTGAGGCACCAATGGTCTACTACCTCGAGTCTGCGTAAATCTTCCGCGCGAAGAGGCTAGGTTTAACAGCCATACAGGAGAACGGATCGTATGGAGGGTTGGTAGACCCGAATTTTAGTCCTGAGACTGATTTCTCTCTTGCTCCATAGAATGCTCCTCAGCTGTAGAAACGCATTCCGGGCGTTGGAGATTCGCGCACTCACTTCGTTTTTCGCTTAACCGTTGGGGAGCATCATGGATCCCAGATGCCTGAAGGATGGCACAATTTCAATAGGTGCTCCATTCAGGGATGGGATTTCCTCATTGCTGGTGGATGTGTTCGAAAACATTTTGGTTTTAAAAGTGTTAATTTCCAAACCGATAGTAGACGCGAGGTGGTTTATCTGATCGAGCGCGACGTCGTCGGTGAATTCGAGATCGGTTATGTGAATATCGGGCGAAAGTTGGATGCTGTGGTGCTCGGTTAGAGTGTGCCGCAAAATCCAATCAACTGTAAAATTGAACAGGATGGGGGATGCTGGATAACCTTGCCAGACACCGCTGGTTACCTCAAAAGTGCGAGACTCTTCACCGTTCACTCGGACTCGAGCTTTGGTGTTGGAGTAGTATGACCTGAGCAGGTTGATTAGCTTGGTCGGAATTCCGTCGAGCTCCATTAGATACCAGGGCTTTTCGTCACATACACACACACACAGTACAAGTTTCCGACCTGTATAAAAATTTATTCAAGTATTGGAATTCCATGCCAATTTCAATTTATCTATCTCTTATGATCAAGGGAATAATATAGTGCGGATTATTTCTGTTTGCCTTTTTCTTTTTTTTTTGACGAATCCCTGAGATATCACTAAAAGGTATGCATGTGTGTATATACATATAATAATCCAACTGTTCAATGTATTACTTTTTTTCACTACTTTTTACCAATTAAATATTCCCATAGTAAAATTTAGAACAAAACATTTAAGCGAACAATATTGCTGTTTTCAATTAGATCTCATCAGGCTTAACTCTAATATATGAATAAAAATTCAAACAAACCAATCATGGTGCTTTGTCTATAGGATAATACAATGGTGAATACAAATTGTGCAATTAGTCATAATAGTAGTAATGATAATATTAATAATAGTAATAATAATAATAATGACGGTTTTATCAATAATAAGGATGAAAAAAGTGAGGTAATCTGTGATAACACGAATACTGATGAAAAACAGTATGATTAAACAAACAATTGTTCAGGTAGACACATAGTAGTCGATAAAGGCTAGTAAAAACAAATGAACCGATTACGTAATGTTAGATTGTAAGGGAAGGAAATGAAACACGTTTATAATGAAGATAAGATTAAGGGATGATAAGAAAGGGGTTGGAAATATAAATAAGGGGTGGTGTAGAAGTCTTTAGTTGGTTATGTCTTATTCGCCTACGGGAGGGATAATGGCTTCACGAACTTCTTTTGAATGCATAGTTTAGGTTTAATAGTTCGAATGCCTATCGCCTCAGCTGTGTGCAGTAGGCGAATATGAAGTCTGTTAGGATGATTCGGAGGGATACGATGAATTACTTTGAAGGCTTTCGTTTTTATCGACTACTTGACCACTATCAATTAGATGTGAGAGAATTGACCTACGGATTGTTTTTGTCTGTCCTTTGCCAAACCACGATGGGAGATGTTCACTAACACGTTGGCTAAGCTGTCTAGTAGTAGTGTGCCCAACATAACTGCTACTGCAGGTGCAGTTGAATTGATAAATACACATAGATGTGGCAAAACTGTCAAGCTTATCCTTCGTTTGCGTCCCAATCATTCGTCGGCTAGAGAATGACAAACACAGGTGTACTGCGTAAAATGTTCTACGTATACTCCTTGAAAGTCTTTCGAATAGAATCTCACTAGATAAGTCACCATTAAATTGTAACTTAATAAATAGAGATTTCTTACATGCAGTCAGAGTCTCGCCGATGTTTTCATATGTTTCTTTATGAAACTACTCGGATAGCCCATCTCCGTCAGGGAATCGTGAATATATTCAAATTCCTTTTGTAAGAGGTCATCCGTAAATATCTTCCTTGCTCTGCTCGCGAGACATTTTACAAGATTCCTCTTATATTTAATGGGCACGTAATCTTATCTTCATTATAAACGTGTTTCATTTCCTTCCCCTACAATCTAACATTACGTAATCGGTTCATTTGTTTTTACTAGCCTTTATCGACTACTATGTGTCTACCTGAACAATTGTTTGTTTAATCATACTGTTTTTCATCAGTATTCGTGTTATCACAGATTACCTCACTTTTTTCATCCTTATTATTGATAAAACCATCATTATTATTATTATTACTATTATTAATATTATCATTACCACTATTATGACTAATTGCACAATTTATATTCACCATCGTATTATCCTATAGACAAAGCACCATGATTGGTTTATATTTGAATTTTTACTTGTAAACTTATATATATTAGAGTTAAGCCTGATGAGATCTAATTGAAAACAACAATATTGTTCGCTTAAATGTGTTCTAAATTTTACTTTTTATTTGCATACAACTTAATTAACTATATATTGTCATATCCTTTGGATTCTAATTCTCTTGTGTTGCTGTTTGAACTCTGTGTGTATGTGTGTGTGCGTGTGTAGGTATCTGCTGGTTCACCGAATGTCAGCGTTGGTACTGCAATTGCCATTTTAGCTAATACCGATGAAAACTGGCAAGAAGTAGCTGTTAATGCTTCTGCTGCAGCTGCTGCATTACCTCAGCAAACAGCCTCAGCCAGTAGTAGTTCACCTGTTCAAGCCTCTGAGATACCGACCACTCATCAGTCAACTCGATCAACATCTATAGGACCTGCAGTTCGCCTTCTTTTACAATCGCACAGTTTAGATGGATCACAGATACCGTCAACTGGACCTCATGGTCGTCTATTGAAAGGGTATGATAAAGTATAGTAATCTAGTAAAAATGTATACATTATTGACTCAGTTTTATTTATTTATTTTTTCTCTTCATTGATATGTGTGTAGTTTAGGGAAATAACACTGTGTCTTTTTTAATGATTTTCATGCATGTTCTACTTTGATTTCTTTGCGGAAATGCTATCAACTAAAGAAGGATTGAAATCTTAAGAGCATTAACTAGTACTGGTGTCAGCCATTTCTTCGTAGTTTATGATTATTCAACTGTGCGCACCAATGACTTCATCGGGGATCCGATTCAAGGCATGGTGGAGTAGTAACATATGAGTTGATTGGATTCTAATTCACTGATTGAAAAGAAGACGTTTTTTTGTGATGTAGTTGGGTGTTCTCTGAGGTAGCTAGCTAGCTAGCTGGATGACTTATTTGTGAAGCTTTCATTATTGCCCTTCTAATAGGCAGGCAACATTTTCAGCTCGCATACTTCACTGCAATTTGAATTGTGAAGTGAGCTTCTAGACTTCTCCAAGAATTTATTAGTCATCTCTCCTAGTGGGAGTGATCTTGAACGTCGTGATTGAGTGTTTTTGGGTGTGTGTGTGTGTGTGCAGACACACAACCATATGATAGGGTGGTAGAGGGTTAAAATTTTAATCTAGGTAGGTGCAGAAAGAGAGATTGATTACTGAATCCTGCCTCATTGAGTCTACACCTAGCACATGCAACAGAAATGACTCAATGTGATTACCAAGGATATAGAAGATGTTATTATCACCACCAGTCAAATCAGAGAAGCTTAATAAATAATCTTACAATTCTATTTCAATTCACATACATTACAACATTCTAACAAGTTACTTATTTTGATTATAAAAGCACTCATCTTATTTCCCATCTGATTGTATTTGAGTGATAACACTCATTATCTCTGAATGTACCCTTATCTTATATTCCTGATTTTATTCAAATGTCAAATCAATTTCATTCATGTATATAAACAAAGTAACAGTTGTGTGAGTGAGTGACTTGATATGATTATGAGTGGCAATAATTTGTGCTCGAAACTTGTGGTCATCAGTTAATATTACTGTATAACACTACAGTGTGTGATTTATTAAAATAAAGTCTTATCTTTAAATGGAGTAGTTATACTGTGCCACAGTACTCAAGTCATATATATATATATATATATCAAGTGGAGATGGATTGATCGGGCATACATTGAGGAGGCTGCCGAATAATGACACATCGGCGCGCAATGCAATCCATTGCTCGAGTGGAATTCAAATAAGAAGCGATGAGTGAGTGGGTCGTCGTCGTCGGCGGCGGCGCGAGGGTGACATGGAGGAGATTGTTTAAGGAGGAAGAGACGAGAGAGAAAGAGTTTTGTGAAACATGAACCCAGAGAGCTGAAGAGGACGATAGAAAACAGAAGAAAGTGGAGGTGTATTGTTATTGAAGTCAGCCTTATGTTTCCACTCGGAAACCAAGGGAATCTTTTGAAAGCTTATTATTATTATTATTAATGCTCCCTTGGGTTCCTAGTGGAACATACGGCTTCAACTGCACGTCTCCACTTTCTTCTGTCTTCTGCTTCTGTACTTTTCACCTGCATCCATGTTAGTCCATACTCTTTCAACTCCTCTTCACACACACGATCTCCTCCATGTCACCCTTGCACTGATGTCCCACACGCCGCTTCCCTTTCGGCCTGGTTCCACTCGAGGGCTTGACGCGCAATGTCACCCAGCGGTCTCCTCAGCGAGTGTCCGATCCATCTCCACTTTCTCTTGCATATTTGTTGGTTGGCGATTGGTTCTTGCTTTGTTTGTTCCCATAGTCCCTTGTTGGTGGTTCTTTCCGGCCCGGCCATCTGATCTTCAGTATAGAGCCAGCGAAGACAGTTGTTAATAAAGGTGTGCAACAGGCTGTTGGAAATATTCTTTGTGACCCGCCCGCCAAGTTTCTGATCCGTATAGAAGAGCTGACTGACTTTACGTTTGTATTGAAAATCCGACCGAATTTCGTTGTTGATGCTGAGTGACGAAGATTTCCAGATTGGTTTCAGGTTGATGAATGTGTTTCTCGCCTTCCCGATTCTCGCTCAATTTGACATCCTCTTCCGTTCCTCCTGTAGTTGAGACAATGCTCCATAGATAAGTGAGTAAATGAAGTAACCTCTTTCAAATCCCTCCCGTTGATGGTGATTGGCGCTGTTGCTGTTTTTGTTGTTGGCTGGTTATTTTCATCACCTCCGTCGTGTCTATGTTCACATAGAGTCCTGTCTTCTCCGGCTGCTTCTTCAATCAGTTTATCGTTTTTCGCTTATAAGTCTTCGATTTTATGTGACATCAAACATAAATCACCCACGCGCGAAATCCAGGTCTTCTAGGTTCTTCGCGTCGGTCCAGGATATTCCTGTCTTCTGGTTTCCCACTGTCTGACGCATAATCCAGTCAGTCCACCACAATTAGGAATATCATTCATTGGTGATAGATAATAAGCACCCTTGTCTGACTCCTGTGTTTACTCCAAACGCCTTGCTGAGTTTTCCGTTGTGGACGACTTGACATGTGCCGTTGTCGTACAGCTGTTGAATAAGGTTGGTGAATATTTGGGGTACGCCGTAGTACTTGAGTAATTTCCAAATTACTTCACGATCAACGCTGTCGAAGGCCTTTTCAAAGTCTATAAAGTTGAGGTAGAGGTTTGATTGATGGCCATTCCATGCTTTGTTCTGTGATGATGATGCGTAGAGTTGTAATTTGGGCAGTACATGATTTACCTTTCCTGAATCCTGAATAATAATGAATATAAAAAAAGGTGTCTTCATGCAGTGAGTGAGTATGTTAAAATTTGTTGAACTCATATATTCATAAGTGAAAACACAGTTTTTGTTTTGTTCAGCGAAGAAATTTCTCCATTCAACGACTTCATTTTTAAGTCAACTGTACAGTAGTCGTATTTATATGACAGAAAAAGGTGGTTATTAAGTGTGAGTGGCACTAGATAGTTGCTCAGTCAATATACATATACGTATGTGATAAGAATAACGATAATTAAAATGTTACAAGGCGTAGAGTTGAAGTGGATAAATTACAGAATTATTAAAGATTGTTTCATAAGTGGATTGATGTCAAAAATGTTTTAAAAAATGTCAAGTGTTGTCTAAAAATTTTAAAAATTAGGAGTACGATTACAATAAGAATGAGGATGTGAAGTGAAGTGGAAAGAATTCAAGTGGTAAAATAAAATAAAAACTAGAAAGAACATTAATTACTATGACCAAGGTAAAGAAAGAAAGGGGTTTGACAAAACGTTTTCGAACACATAATTTAGGTTTCTGTTCATGGTTAGCCTAAAGCTTCGGCTAGCTATGCATAAGTGAAGAAAACGTAAACTTTTGGATCGATTCGATTTTGCCATGTAGATAACTTTGAAAGATGAATCACGTGGGGCTAAATGACCAGACTCTACCTAACAGGTGATCACAAATAGATGATTTCGCAGTTCTTCGTTCGCCTTTCACATTAACCAAACCGGATAGTGTGTTCAGCAACACGTTTTCGGAGATTACGCTTACAACGTCCAATATAATCAGCTCCACAAGAGCAGGTAAATGAGTAAATGCGCATAGATGTGGACAAAAGCGGTAATCTATCCTTAACGCATTGTCTAATCATATTTCTGCTGGTAAAAATTAGATGCAAGTCAGCTGCAGGAAAAGTACGTTTAATACATTTAGATAAACGATTTTTAATCAATTCCGAAATGGTGTCACCTTTGAATGCTAGACTCATAAACAGTCTTTCCTTTGGCACTGTGATGTGTCTAGGGGCGGATTCTTTCTTGATGTTACGTTCATTGAACCTTGTAGGATAATCATTGTCAAGGAGATTTGATCGAAGGTTATCTGGTTCCCTATCGATTGTCTCTGCAGAGCAGATTTTACGAATTCTGGAGCAAAAGGAATGAATAAGATTTCTCTTTCTCCCTAAAGGTATCCAACTGTTGAAGAAGTTAGTGTATACTGCCCAGTGAATGTTGTTGGCTTTCGGTAAATTGACCTTAACAGCATTCCATTCTCTCTTCTATCTAGCTTAACATCAAGGAAATGAAACGAGGAGTTCGACTCTTCTTCGATCGTGAAAAGCGAAGATGTATGAGAGCCGTTAAATATACGGCTGAAAATGAAGTCGTTGAATGGAGAAATTTCTTCGCTGAAAAAAAACAAAACTGTGTTTTTACTTATGAATAAATGGGTATTTTTCATGATTTGAACTCATATATATGTTGTGTATATGCTGAATTTATTCAATTATCTCTTTTAAAAATCATCTCCTTCCGTTTTTTTATTACAGTGATGTATTATCTTATGTAGCTAACAATAAGATGATGAAACCTGTAGAATCTATTCAAGGGAAATTATCTCAAGATACAAGTGTAGGTGGTGTTGGTGCCAGTGTTGCTGCTGTTCAGTCTGCTTCATTTACTGATATACCTTTAACAAATATGCGTCAAGTGATAGCTCAACGTCTCACTGAATCGAAATCGTCTATTCCTCATGAATATATTCGTACTATTGCTTGTCTGGATAATTTGAATGACTTACGAAGAAAAATTAAAATGAATTATGGAATAAAATTGTCTATTAATGACTTCATTATTAAAGCATGTGCTTTAGGTTTAAGGGTAAGTTCATTCACATATTTCATGGAATATTATACACATAATTGAATCATAGAAATTATCGAAAAAGACCGATTGTAGTGAAGAAAAGGCTTTTCTTTTCAACGAAGTTATATCGTCAACTACAGCCCCAACGGGTTGATCTCTGACGAAATCTCAGCTGAGTACGGATACAGGGGGCTCGTTTCGCATTTCCCAGTTTACGCCGACTCTGGCTTAGTAGACGAGATATTCGACTATCGACCAAAGGGTGGGTGTATTGCTCATCAGTCCGCTCCGTCCTCCTTTATGGCCAGCTGTGAGCGAGACCTGGCCACTGAGAGTGGAAGACATGAAAAGACTAGCTAGCTGTCTTTGATCATAGGTGCCTGTCTGCGTTCTATCTCCCTACCGTGTAAAGTGGCATAATAAGGTGAGCAATATTGAAGTGAGACATCGGTCGAGTGCTAGGTAAACAGGGGAAATCAATCGACGAAGTCGTGAAGTTACAAAGACTTAGATGGTTAGGACATGTGTTACGTATAGCAGCCTGGTCATCGCCTCCCTCGACGAGCAATGTTAGCGGATATAGGGTAAGGCTGGAAAAGAGCTAGTGGAGGTCAAACAAAAACTTGTCACCAGTCAATGAAATCCACAACAGTTGGTCTAAGCCAGTCACGTAGGAAGGTGTAGACTTCCTGACTGGTTGGGGTCCTCGGGACGGTAAAAACCTATGGTTGGAAACAATTGGTGACATGGCTCTAACTCATCGTTCTCAATGGCTGAGCGAAGATGCATCCACTCCTTGTGACTTATGATTTCCAATGAAACTGTTTTGTTCTTCGTTATTACTCCTCTTTTGTCTCACACCTCTGCTCACTGTCTCTATTATGCTTTTCTTGTACTTTCTTCTCTTGCTTCGCGTGCTACACGGAGTGTGGCGACTTGAACTGTCGCACATTTGTGCAAAGTTTTATGTCGAAAACAGACAGACAGACAGATAACTGTACGTTCGTGTATTTGTAGCAGGTGGTTTTTATTAAGGGACCATCCCCCCGCGAACCTTTGACTTGCAGTCTAATCCGCAAGGCAGTGGAGCAGTGTCAGGAGCTGCATTCCCATGGTTTCCGGTGACCCATATGGGTTCATACACCATTTGATCCCACTTGGATACTACTGGTGCTCATGTGTACCCCATGGTAACTGCTTATTAGTTTAACCGCTATCCAAACAACCTTCCTGACATGGTAGGACCTACAGAGAGGGATATGAGTCCCAGTCAGTTTAGCATGTTGGATCATTACGGGTATTCAAACCCCCCACGACCACCACAACAAGGTAGCAGTTATCGGACGGGGCAAGTTGAAGTGTCCAATTGATGGCCGAAACCGCGTAGATGTCTTTCCGGTGAATTCTGATAAGTACGTTACAAATCTTTCTGATATTACTCTTTCTAGTCATTAGAAAGAAAGAAGCTTTATCCCTTGAACTTAAATTTTGTGTGTTCTTCGCACGCAATTTACGGATTTAGCCCATCCATACTGAGTTTGACAACTTATATGACCAACTCAAACCTCTTGCCGCAACATCCGATGAAGATCGGGATTGGTTTAAGGCCAAGTTGGTGGATATAGCTCACCCACCAATTTTTAAACAACAACCCAAAGGAGAAAAGTATTTTAAATTCACAACATTTCAAAAGGGCTACGGGAAAATTGTAATATAATTATTACGAAACCTGATAAGGGTTTTGGAGTCGTCATTATGAATAAAAGTGACTACAAATCTAAAATGATGTCTATTCTTGATGATAAATTTAGCAAATTTAGCCGTGATCCCACCTCAGAAGATATTCACTTGTTGCAGCAGAGCACAGTGACAGCTAATCTAGTGAAGCTTCACGGTCTAAACGGTTTAAGTAAAGATAAATTTGACTCTTTAAAACCACATCAGAATGTAAATTCCCGCATACGTGTGGTTCGCCCAAAAATATATAAACCCAATAATCCTCTACGTCCTATATTATTGTCAATGTGCAAATCCCCCAAGGCATAAACTTGTTAAATGGTTAGTAGAATTATTGCATCCAGTCAAAACACAATTCTGTAAGTAAGAATGTAAGAATATGTACTCTTTTGATGTAGACTCGTTATTCACTAATGTGCCTTTGCTAAAAACAATTGACATTTTGTGTGATTATATTTCACCACACACACACACACATACACACACACACACACACACAGGGGATTTCTTCATTTTGTCCCCTTTTATCTTCTGATCTAAGAAATTTATTACTTTTATGTTTACTTTGAAGGCGGTTGTTTCCGCCAGGTTGATGATGTTGCGCTATGGGGGATGTCTATCAGGGCGCCTTTTAGCAGATATCTATACATCGTGCATTGAGAATTTATCAGAGGATTTAATCGAAAATGTGCCTGACACTTTATAGAAGCTTTGTAGACGACATTGTAATCATCAGTGATGAGTGATAAGCGCCTTGTTCTGCCACGTCAAATTTAAATCAAATGAATGAAGTTCAGAATAGCAAGCATACCACTTACTTACATATGGAGAAGAGGAAGATAATTGTTTATCTTTCCCTAGACATATTCCTTAGTCGACGGCTTGATGGATCAATAATACAATCTATTTATAGAAAATCAACCTGGACAGGACAGTATCTTAATTATTACAGTTTGTGCCTTGTTCAGTGTGAAGAAAGAGGCTTGGCGAGGTTCCGATGACACACATTTGATGAGAAAGAAAGAAAGTTGTCACAAACTCTGGTTGACAAGTTCATCAGGAGATGATATAAAGAAGTCAGTGGAACACTAAGACACATTCTCCAACTCGTCTCTGCTACGTAGGATGTGCACATCAAGCTTCCCTATATTGGTGGGGTGGGGGGCGGATATCATAGCAGTTTGACAACTAGACAAAGATTGAACGCTGCTGTAGCTAATATCATAATAATACATGAGAATGTGAAACCAATATATCCATCCATCTAAGCCCTTTGAACAGGCGAAAAATGATTTCACATCCTCCACACCAATGTATTTACCAATTTTAATGTACGTGTGTGGACACATGGGTATATAGGAAGGGGGTGTGTGTGACTCAACCAAAGCTGTCAAGTAAGGGCTGGTTTCAGAGCATATTCTTGAATGGCTGGCTCCAGAAGCAAATAGAGAATTCCCAGAACCCATAAATTAATGCTGAGAACAGGTGGCAATCTTACTCCTCTATTGCGTGCGAAACACATCACAGAGGAGATGCGACATAAAATTGATGTTTACAGATCTTATATACTTATCTATAAGACGTGTTTGAGGTAGAAAGTTTGTGGAAGCTCTAGACAGACAGCAGTTAGGAAGTTTAAACCACCTTCATGAGATCGAAGCAACAATTTGTCATCACACACTAAACCTACCGTCCTTGGTAAACTTTGGTTTGGTCACCATCATGCAGGGTAGATGTACTATTTTACCTCTCTTATTTGGTTTGGTGTGATCTTCGATGTTAATTTTCACTTTGAAAACGTCCTCATTTTAACTTGACCTATAACTTGTGTATTTTCTCATATCCTAACCCTTTTAATTTTATACATATATGCACTCCTATGACAAGTCTGTGTATGATGGATCAGATTGTTCGAAATGCGTTTCCGCAGATACATTACACGATTCAGATACATTACGTCTCCTTATTACTTTATCTGAAAATATATATGTGTTTTCCATCAAGGTACCTCGGAGATTACGCAATTCTTCGTCAGTCACTTCCTTGTGGCATGTCTTCCTTTTGTTATCCAAACTTCCTGTTTATTCATGTTATTTTTAAGTTCTTCATTCAAACGAAACTAACTTTGTCAAATATGCAGATGATCTGACTGTATCACTCACTGTCTATCACTTCCGAGTCTGACAGCTCCAAACTTAATAGCTTTCTGTTGGACATCAACAAGTGGTCTAATTCAAATGGTCTTATATTAAATCCTTCCAAATGTCAGGCAGTTGACTTTACTTTCAAGCATCGATGTGACTTACATGCGAACTAGTTAGTTTGCATGATGCTTGTAGCATAGATGGCACGGAAATTGAAACCAAGTCAAGCATTAAATACCTTGGATTAGTTCTTTCCTCTCTGACCTTTCATGGTCATCCCATATCTTATCTATCTCTAAGAAAATGTTTCGTCTTACCTTCTACATTAAAAAGTTAAGACAATCAGGTATCAACCAACCTTTAGTTTTGCAATTTTTAAACTCCTGTATTTTACCTATTGTACCTACTCTATCGTTCTCCATTAATCTTTCCTGGGCTTCTCAAAAAAGATTATATCATATTACGAAGAGTATTAAATGCTGTGAGTAGAGCTTGTGATCTGCCACTGCATGAGCTCGCCAATACTATAGTCGAGAGGCATGTAAATTCCTGTACAAAATGGGCAAAGGCTATACTGTCAGACCCTCTGCATCCCTCGCCTTTATTCACACCTGTCCCCTTGTATCTCATCAGGTAGGACGAGAAGTCAATATAAGTTAGAAGTTATATGCTCGTACCAGTAAGTATAGAAATTCTACAATACCCTCCCTATTTAGCCCGTACTTTATGTGATGAAGACTCTGTTAGACGTGAAACACATAAGTTACTATGTTAATTAGCACAGTAAATCGACTGTTCCATTGTTCATTTTTCTGTATTTTATGGTATCACACTTTCTGTCGTTTAATTATTACTCTGCTATTTTATTTCAGTTGGTATTACTATTATTACTATAATTTTATACTTTATGCATATTTTTCACCGTATTGCATACAGTATTTTGCTATGTAGCTGCTGTAACAATCGTTTTATTATTATTGTGTAATGTGTATTTATAATTTTTGTTGTGTCGTCTTTGAGTAAATTAGATGCAATGCTGAAAATTCCTTGCTGTATCATTAGTACTAATTTTGGAATAAAGCAAAAATTTATTGTTATTATTATTCTTAATCCGTCCACTATTTTTACACCACCATATTTTTTCATATCCGAACTTTCTGTCTATTTTGTCATTTTTATTATTTCTACATATTTAATCGCTGACTGCATGCATAAACAGTTATTCGTCACATTAATTATGATCCCACTAGATTTTGTTTTTATCCAAACATCCTGTCTATTTTTGTTTTTTGTGCATTTCTAACCCCCAATTGCACAATCAATGTCAATTTTCTCAGTAATTATGATGCTACTATGTTTGAGTTCTATCCGTCCTCACCCCGTTGTATATATATATATAGGATGGTGTTGCTAGCCTCATGCCCCCCAACCTTCCCCCTTTATCAGTCTTATTACTGACTCAGCGAGCGGGGTACAGGAGTGCGTCAGTGGCCGGTCGGAGGTCGAACCCCGGACCACCCGTGGGTCGGCGAGCCCTTTACGGCTGTGCCACCGACGACGCATCCCCTTGTATATATTAAGGCATTTTAATTTCTATTTGTAATTTTATCAATTTTGACCCTTGACCGGAAATAATTCTGCAACTTTCCCACCAATTTCTTATAAATACACAAATGTACAGCTATCTAGTAGTTGACGATATAACTTCGTCGAAAAGAAAATTTTCTTCACTACAATTGTCTTTTTAATAATTTCTATTATTCATATTTATTATTATTTTTTGGTTTGCATTCGTTGTAATCCAATTAGGGTATCATCATCATCATATTGTCTTGTCTTTCGCGGCCTGGCAGTGTTGTTGTTGTTGATGATGATGTACGATTAGGGCAGAGTAGCAGCCAGCGCATTAAAGTTCATATTCGCTGATAGTCTACTGGGTCACATAGTTCCGATCATAAAAAAAATCATAGGCGACATCCTGAATCTTTGGCTGAGTTAAATTTCAAATAGTGTTTTTTTTTTATTGATTAGTTACCGGATTTCATCATGGCCCCTGACATCGATTGGTTGGAGAACCATTGGAAAACCTGCCACAGGGAGGAGTACTGCCTACTTTGGGACTGGCTTTTCAGCAGTACGCACTCACCACCTCAACACACTACCGGTGTACAAACCCAGGACCTTCTGATTATAAGCCGACCTCGTCGACCGTTAAGCTACTCTACTCACTGGGATACTAGCCAGTTCATGAATTCTAATTTCTGCCGATTCATGACATAGCGGGACTGGCTGGCACCTAGCCAATGTCTTCTTCCATGCGTAAACTGTCCTCATCTTCAACCTGCTGTCTACCCTACCGGTCACGACTTCCTACTAGAACCATTGTGTAACTGCCCACCCGAATAGGGGCCATTCACTAGTAAGCCTAACGATCTACAAGCTCGCTTGCCTTGTGTAACCCACAAGGAACTGGGTTCGAATCTCAGTCGGGGGGGGGTGCGTACTGATGGAAGAGCCAATCCCAAACTAGTCTGGCGAAACAGCTATCTGACAGTACTCCCTGTGGCAGCAGGTTTCCCAATGGTTCTCTAACTAATGTCAGCTCATAATGAAATCCTCCAACGTATTTTAATTTCTTTCATTATGTTTTATACCAGCTTTACTTTTTTTCTGTTCTATGTATCTATTGTATTGTATTGTATTTATGATGATGATGATGATGATTGTGTGTACTTCAGAGTATGTTGGGAAATGCAAGTTATCCTGTGAAGGAAACAGCTATTTGCAAAGGCGAAATTCCCCACGAATAGTCCGTGTTTTTTTCAATGAATACCTTCGTGTTGAAGTGAGAATGGAGACCACAGTAATATTCGTGTTTGTTTGTTTTTCAGTTTTTATTTTTTTTGTTGTTGTTGCTTTTTTTTGTGAGAGTTTTCTTTTGTATATATATGTGTGTGTGTTTGTTATTCGTGATATTACATACGAAATGGAAACTACTTAGCTTGATGTAAGGCAAGCCTGCCGCCGTCACCACCACCACCACCACTGGACTAGCACTAGCAAGAGGAGTATGAGGAGGAGGAGGAGGACTTGTTGAGGACTATCCTCTGTCTACAAGATTTCCAAGCAATAACGATAAACTTACTTACTTTACTTCGGCTATCTCCTACGGGAGGATGAGCCGGCTTCATGAACATCTCGAATCATCCCTGCCCAGGTGCGGCGATCTGATGCAAGCAAGGTTTTGCCACGACAGGGTTATCCAATTCTTGTTCCACAGACGGAGTCCGTAGACGGTTTGTAGCCCCAGCCCAGTCACTCCAATATCAGCCTTGACTGACTGTGTACCAAGCCATGTGTTTTCAGCTGTCCACCCGTGCGACATCGCCAAGATGGAAATGGAAATGGCGAGGGATTTAGAACTGATTTGGCGAAGAACATGGCCAAACCATCGAAGGCGACGTTGTTGGACCAGTACTGGAATTTGGTTGACGTTGTAGCAACGACGACGCACACAGTTCATGAAGTTTCATGGGAATTAGGTACGAGTGATGTCCCCAGAATCGCTCGGCCTTTTGTTTGAGAGTGCAGCTCTAGCCTTTACACAACCAACCAAGTGTGACCTCCTACAAGGCAGTGGGAGTGGAGTAGGGAGGAGTCGACTATCCATTGTCAGCCAGTCGGTGACTGGAGTCCGGTTCATACGCCTTTTTGAATGGGGCCAGACATACACCAGGGCATCCAATAAGCCCTTTGTCCATACGTCTGCCTACCGGTGAGCTCTGGTGAGCTTCATATGCCAGTCGTTGGAGGTTTGGAATCAGGCAGGGTTTAGCCATCTCCCCTAGACTGTCTGTCATCCAATGGACAGTCAACCCGGTGAAGAGCGCCGGTCATTCTCTTTTGCCCTCTCACTTCGGTGGTGAAAAACACCTCCGCCACGTGAAGGCAGTGAGGACTGAGGACTTCCTCAAGAGAGGCTATGTAAGACGCCCGGTTATATGGGAGCATTTCAAGAGGTGTACGGTGGGAGGAGTGGCCAACCCGCAGTAGCGCAAGGCACCCACCCCCGACCATCCTGAGGCTTTGGAGGCTAAAGTACATATACGATAAAGTATATATATATATATATATATATATATATATATATATATATATATATATATATATATGTATTTATTAATGGTGATACTTCAAATTTGAGCCCGAACAGCTGCTTAGTGGTGGTCACGTCTCTGACTGACTGCAGTACTCACTGGGTGACGTGGATTCGAATCTCAGAAGGGGAAAGACATGAGTTCCATATGAAATGTGGTTGTAGATACACGCCTTGCTGACTGATTGACTGACTGACTGATGATGGGTGAGTGGGTGAGTGAGTGCCAACTAGCACGAAACCTCTAGGTCAGGAAAGGTCAGGCTTCCTTCCTGTGGTCGATTGCCTCCAACCACCTATCAAAATTTCATCAAATTCTTCAACCTCACCTACAAAAGTAAATGACACATGATTTTGCTGAGCTGTTAATTAATTTTGACTGGATGATTGTAGAACTTCCATCGAAGGTTACGATTTTTTAAAAAAGGAAATGTTTGGTCATGGGTGATAGAGGGAGAAATATTGGAGTACTGGACATTGTTGTTTCTTTGTAGGTCGGGAATCTTCATCCGTAGGCTCCTATGACAGTTTCAGTTAAGCATGGAAACCTGCTCCTCCCCAGGCCCCCCACCCGCCCTCTGCACAATCTCTCTACCCTAGTGATAAGTTCTGAGGTGGTGGATGCAAAATCTGAAAGTTTTCACAGGGAGTTTTTGTAAGGCTTTTGCTATAAGGTGAAGAGTCTGTTAGAGCAAGCTCAAACAGTGTGAAAACGAATAAGGTCTAATAGAAACTCTTTTCATATAGGTATTTGAGGCCCGACTGACATGGATCATACTTTCTTTTATTCCCTTTGTTATTTTAACACAACGCAAAGTAACGCAGATTATTCTCAATGTCTGTCTGTCTGTCTGTTTTCGACATAGAACTTTGCACAAATGTGCGACAGTTCAAGTCGCCACACTCCGTGTAGCACGCGAAGCAAGAGAAGAAAGTACAAGAGAAGCATAATAGAGACAGTGAGCAGAGGTGTGAGACAAAGGAGGAGGAGTAATAACGAAGAACAAAACAGTTTCATTGGAGATCATAAGTTACAAGGAGTGGATGCATCTGCGCTAGCCACTGAGAACGATTTTCAGCCATGTTACCAATTGTTTCCAACCATTGGCTTTTACCGTCCCGAGGACCCCCCAACCAGTCAGGAAGTCTACACCTTCCTACGTGACTGACTTAGACCAACTGTTGTGAATTTCATTGACTGGTTCCAAGTTTTTGTTTGACCTCGGCTAGCTCTTTTCTAGCCTGATCCTATATCCGCTAACATTGCCCATTAGTCGAGGGAGGCGATGACTAGTCAGGGATGCGTAACACATGTCTTGACCATCTCAGTCTTTGTAACTTCACTTCTTTGTCGATTGATTTCCCCTGTTTACCTAGAACTCTACGATTATTCTCAATAATAATAATAATGAGATGAAAAGACTTCCATTTTGGATAATTCTACTTTTTACATACATTTATTCCCATTAATGAATAATAATAATGAACGAAACAAGAACAACAACAGTGTGGTTTGTGCAGAATAAAAAGGTGGTGGTACCAACGTTTATTGTTTATTTCGTTCATTGGCTTCTCATAAGCTCACCTGCTACTCACTCACAGTCCATAGACATTATTGAGTATATCTACGAAAACAATTTTGACATACTTGCACAGAGTTCATTGTAAACAAACATCAATATATGCATGCAATAATACATATATATATATATATATATTCACTTCATCCCAAGTAACAATAATGATCATACAAAATGGAAACTTCCGACAACAACAGATTCGAATTGTGAGGGCGATTGTTACTTCCCGGCTGGCCACACTGTGGAAGTTGGTTGCGTGACCACAGAGCCCAGCCGACAACTGCTTGAGCCAGGCCGGTCACACACGGCCTACTTTTCTTTGTTCGTAATTGTTTTGTGTGTCTCAGTAGCATATTTATCACTCCTACCCTGTGACACGGTAGCAGGAAGCGCGGTCGTTGTTAATAATCCGGGCCACGGTCGATCCGGCATGAAATTTTGTGAATTTGTTTGAATCATGGTATTGGATGGGGTAGCTGCTTTTTGTTTAACCGCTATCCAAACAATCTGCCTGGCATGGTAGGACCTCAAGAGACATAAGTCTCAGCCAGTATAGCTTGATTAGGTCATTGCGTGTTCAAGCCCGACCACCACGTCAAGGTAGCAGCTTTCGGCCGGACACAACAGAATCAGGCATGGTAGGCCAAGAAACGACTGGGGATACTGACTGTTACTTTCTGATGAACGCATAAATAATAAATGGGGGTTACTAGGTGCTTCTTGGTGGTGGAGATCTCGCCTCATCAAATTTTAAGGAAAATTCAAATTTTTTTTTGCCTCTTGATAATTTTTTCAACGATCTTGCGATGTCCATCTCAATGACACCCGTGTTGAAATCGCCCATGCAACACCAAGAAAATGATAGTCTCCAAAGGTCAGTTTACTGAAACCCACCCACCTATATGGAATAAACACTATCTAAATTTTAATAGTTTTTTTTATCTAAATAGCTAGCTACAAGCAATCACTAGTCAAAACATTGTACTATAGAGCAAGGAGAATATGCTCTACAGAGAGAGAGAAATTAGAGCAAGAATTTATATTTCGTGAAAACATGTTAAAAAGGTGTTCATTAACAAGTACAGATAATCTGAAGACTCAAATGTCAAATTTGAATAAAGCGAGAACAGTGGCGGTTTGTACAGAATAACATGGTACCATCATTGCTGATTTCGTTGGCTTCTCATCAGCTCAGCTACTTACAGCCTAAATAAATTTTGAGGTTTAAGTACAGAAACGTTTTAACATACTTGCAAATTTTACATGTTGTCGTCAGTTGACAGAAAGTTCCACAATTAGTGAGTGAACAGTGCTCAGAAAATTGCGCTTATATAGTTTTTACACAGGCAGTTCAAGTTCAAACAAAATAAATGTATGCAGAAAATGGTAAAGGAGTTACATAATAAAGATGAGATGTGCTTTAGATGCATAGTGACTAGTAAGTTAGGTAACAATGTACTGAGTTGAACTCAAATCATACAAACAAGAGACAAGCAAAATTACAGATTATAAAAGGAGGGTGAGGTTAAAGACAAAGATTACGTAATCAGTGAGAGAAAAAATACATCCAGTTACCAAGGCAAGGAAAGACTAATAACTGCTTCTTTCTGAACACATAAATCTGGTTTCAAGCGTTTGATAGAAATTGCTTTGGCAAACTTGAGGAGAATAGAGCTCCTTTGTCTATTGATAACTTTGAAGAATTTCTCGATTTCCACCTCGTGACCCGTGTTGAGATGTCTGGTAATAGCGCTGCTATAAGAGTTTGTTCCTTTTAGACGTAGGCTTTTCGGCACATGTTCAGAAAATCAGAGGTGTGCCCTTCTTTCTGTTCTCCCAGTGTAACTGCTCCTGCAGATACACATGAATTTGTATGCACAGTTGGACTTAACATGAGAAGGGTATTTATCGACTTTTGACTGCACCAAAGAGCATGTTGTTCGATGGACGAGAACCAACTTAGGCGCAGGATAGGCTCTGGCTAGTGACGTTCTCAGTCTTCTGTTGACCATTTCTGCAATGTCTTCACCTTTAAAATCCAGTTGAATGAAGACAGGCTTTTTTCCAACTGTGATTTGTTTGGTATTTAAGCCTTCACATCTTCCATATTTGTTAATGAATCTTTGAGGATAGCCGTTGTGTTTCAGCACCTTTTCGAGATTCGTGAATTCTTCCTCTAGTTTCTCTGCAGAGCATATTTTCCGCGCTCTATAGTACAGAGTCTTGACTAGTGCTCGTTTATAGCTATTTGGACAAAAACTATTAAAATGTAAGTATTGTCCATTCCATGTGAGCTTTCGGTAGATTGACCTCTGTAGACTACCATCTTCTAGGCGTTTTATGGCGACGTCAAGGAAATGGAACTGTCCATCATTTTCATGTTCCATAGTAAATACAATATTTGTATGCGCGTTGTTGAATAGTCTGAGTGGATATAGGAGGCATGACTTTCGTCGTTGCATACGACATATATGTCATCGACATATCGACAATAGGAAGTTGTTTGCAGGCTTCAGTTTTGTTTTCTCAAGGTTTTGACATAAAGATATCTGCTAAAATAAACAAATGTCAATCAAATCACAGTATGGAAAACACAGCCTGTCTTCATTCAACTTGATTTTAAAGTTGAAAATCTTACAACAGTAGTAGTCAACAGAAGATTGAGTAAAGCGACTAGAGCCAGAGCCTATCCTGCAGCTAATCTGGTTCCAGTCTATCGAACAACTTGCTCTGCTTTGGTGCAGTCGAAACTCGACAGATATGCACCTCTCTCTCTTATGTTAACAACTGCAACTGTTATATACAAATTTATGTGCATGTGTGAGACCAGGTACACATTGGAAGAACAAAAAGAGGAACAAATACTAAAAAGCCTATATCTTCAGCTGGGTGGGATCAAATGCTTTGCTTGAACAGTGCCATCACCAGTCATCTTCAAAGCCTCAGGATAGTCAGGGGTGGGTGCCTTGCGCTACTGCGGGTTGGCCACTCCTCCCACCGTACACCTCTTGAAATGCTCCCATATAACCGGGCGTCTTACATAGCCTCTCTTGAGGAAGTCCTCAGTCCTCACTGCCTTCACGTGGCGGAGGTGTTTTTCACCACCGAAGTGAGAGGGCAAAAGAGAATGACCGGCGCTCTTCACCGGGTTGACTGTCCATTGGATGACAGACAGTCTAGGGGAGATGGCTAAACCCTGCCTGATTCCAAACCTCCAACGACTGGCATATGAAGCTCACCAGAGCTCACCGGTAGGCAGACGTATGGACAAAGGGCTTATTGGATGCCCTGGTGTATGTCTGGCCCCATTCAAAAAGGCGTATGAACCGGACTCCAGTCACCGACTGGCTGACAATGGATAGTCGACTCCTCCCTACTCCACTCCCACTGCCTTGTAGGAGATCACACTTGGTTGGTTGTGTAAAGGCTAGAACTGCACTCTCAAACAAAAAGCTGAGCGATTCTGGGGACATCACTCGTACCTAATTCCCATGAAACTTCATGAACTGTGTGCGTCGTCGTTGCTACAACATCAACCAAATTCCAGTACTGGTCCAACAACGTCGCCTTCGGTGGTTTGGCGATGTTCTGAGCCGACCAGATGGCGATCTGGTCAAATCAGTTCTAAATCCCTCCTCGCCATTTCCATTTTATCTTGGCGATGTCGCAGGGGAAGGGGACAGCTGAAAACACATGGCTTGGTACAGTCAGTCAAGGCTGATATTGGAGTGACTGGGCTGGGGCTACAAACCGTCTACGGACTCCGTCTGTGGAACAAGAATTGGATAACCCTGTCGGAAAACCTTGCCTCAGATCGCTGCGCCTGGGCAGCGATGATTCGAGATGTTCATGAAGCCGGCTCATCCTCCCGTAGGAGATAGCCGAAGTAAAGTAAAGTAAGTATCTCCTTGACACGGGTCATGAGAGGTGGACATCACGAGATCGTTCAAATTTATCAATAGGTAAAAGAACTCAATTCTCTCTTTGAGTTTGCTGAAGTAATACCCATCAAGTTCTTGAAACCTATTAATGCGTTCATAAAAGAAGCAGCCAGTATCTATTTTTTCTTGTCCTGCAATAACCTGGTAATTGAATATTTTCATCTTGTCTTTCATCTGATTACTCAATGCTGAATGTTCCCATTGTGTATGATTATTGTTGTTGCTTGAGATAAAGTGTTTATTAATATTTTATGCATATATTAATGATTCTTTGAGTACAGAACAGAAAAGGACTTAGTGTGTCGTGATTGCAGTTGACCCCCGGGGTACAAAACTGCTTGAGGCTAACTACTGGTCAGCCATGCACGATTCACAAATCAGCCACACACACACACGACCTGTATAAGCTGGTTTCTTGGATTGATTCCGTTGCGTATTAATAAAAACTTACCCCTGGTTACGGACCACCACCACCACCGTATGTGAGGTAAGTTGGGAAGTACAATTTTGAGGTCGATCTTTCCTCTAACTCCCCTTCACTCTCTCCAGATAGGTGGGGTGGGGGGAGACAGCATAGCTGGCTGGCTGGCTGGCACGCCGATCATCTGAGTGTGAAAGAAACACCTTACTGCGGTTGTTACACCCCTATTCCCCAGTAGTAGTACGACTTCACCTACAGGCAGACAGACCCCCCAGTATAGTGTAAAAAGCACCCGGAATCTTCCACGACACCGGTGGTAACTGCCCCTTTAGTATAATCGCTATCCTAACTAACACAACACCTACTTGACATGGTAGGTTGGACCTTGCAGGAACATTAGCTCCAACCAGTGTAGCTTGTTCGGTAATTGCACGATATGCTGCAAGACCAGTGACCATCATCATCACATCAAGGTGTGGATAGTAGATATCGGTCAGCTTGTTATCCAATCAGTCAGTCGCTGATTAAATCTAACTGTGAATATATATGTGTGGTGTTCATTTTCTCCAATAAAATTTAAATTTCCCTTTCCACCCACCTCCAATCCCCCTATCATCATTACCGCTACTTGTCTTTTTCTAGCTTGTACCAGATTTGAATGCCATCTACGACTCACAGACGGAATCGCCTATCTACTTGAGATCAGTTGATATCAGTATGGCAGTTGCAACTAGCACTGGTCTAATCACACCAATTTTGCATTCAACCGATACACTAACAATTTCAGATATCTCAAAGTTGTCAAAACAATTAGCCAAGAAAGCACGAGATGGTAGATTACAACCAAATGAATTTCAAGGCGGTAGTTTCACGTAAGTGGATTTCGTAGATTGTTATTGTGGTTGAATAATGTTAAGTAAGCATCATCATAAGACTTATTGTCAGTTGAAAAAAGTTGTGTGTGTGTGTGTGTGTGTGCAACTCACAGGTCCAGTTAAGATACCCTGGGGATTTCTGAAGGTATTTAATTGGTGGATGGTGACTAGCAGTGGAATCCAGGATGCACATTTCGTCCTATTTGGGATTCGTCACTGGGTGTACCTGCATTTCTCAGTGAGTGGTAATGTTCCCACCGAGGCTCGAACCCACTACCCATAGTTTCAAACGCCAAAGCGTTATCCACTAGACCACTTGGGTCACGAGAGCCACCGAAGCACTTCGGTCCAATCAATCGACGGGAAAATCTCAAATTCAATAAAACTAATATGACCCGTTGCTCTTGTGGCCCAAGTGGTCTAGTGGATAACGCTTTGGCGTTTGAAACTATGGGTAGTGGGTTCGAGCCTCGGTGGGAACATTATCACTCACTGAGAAATGCAGGTACATCCAGTGGCTGACGAGTCCCGAATAGGACGAAATGCGCTTTATCCTGGATTCCACTGCTAGTAACCATCCACCAATTAAATACTAACTAAATGCCCAGACATCGTCGAAGTATCTGCACAAGAAGCAGACATGTCAACCTGAGACCGAGCACTTCTGTCCAATCAATCGACGGGAAAATCTCAAATTCAATAAAATTTCTGAAGGTATTCTTTACTTTTCAACGAATTTCATTTTCAATCAGCTGTACACAGCAGTTGTGATTTATATATTACGGTGGAAGAGTAGGTATTCGTAAGTGTGGGGCAGTATGGCGTCAAAGATAGACTACTGTTGTGTGGTTTATTTACGTCCACCTCGGTGTTGTTGTGCGTCTATTGTCACATCTATTGTGCGCTGGTGTAGAGTTGATTTACATTGGATGTTGTGTGTGTGTGTTCTCCGTAACCGCCTTAGCTAAACACCACCCCTCCCCTTCGATACACTGTTTGGTTAACAACAAAATCTTCAATTTATTAACACTTTCTGGAGTCAGGTTATTCAAACACCCTCCCCATCTCGTGATTTATCCTTTAAACTTATCTACAGCATCAAAATACGGTCATTGCAAAAGCTTACCTGTTTTTCTCGCTTATATATATGGCCGAAGCTCTAGCTATAATACATGGACAGAAACCTAAATGTTGTGTTAAAAAAAACATTTTGTCCAACAACCACTTTCTTCACCTTAGGTCATAGGAATGTTCTTACCGCGGGAATTCATTGTACTTCACCGTCTCCGTCTCTTTACTGTTTGTCACCATTGTAGTCTTAATTTTTTTTTTAGACAAAACTTCTGACCTACAATTTTTGTCTAAAATCTTTTACACCAGTCCATTTATTTAATAGTCATCTTTATAATATAAGTGTTGTAATTCATCCACTTCAATCAAGTCTACCATGCTCCCTGCCACCACCCCCCCCGCCCCCGCCCCAGTACATCATTTTAATTACCATAATTCTTATCATCATATGTGCAATATTAACTACTGAGCAATTTCTAGTGCCCCATTTATGAATATCTGCTATTTTCTATAATTATAAATACGACTGCTGCTCGGGAGGCACAAACACAAGAAAGCCATGCAGGCTTTAGACCAGGAAGAGGGTGTACTGATCATATCTTCACCCTCCAACAGATTCTAGAACATAGGGATTCTTACCGGCGCCCAACAATCACTGTATTCCTTGACATAAAGGCGGAATTCGATTCTCTCGACCGAGAGGTTCTCTGGATATGCTTGGCTGTAAAGGGTATTCCGAGAAAATACATTGCACTAATTAAGGCACTCACTTTACTCGTACTGATACAGCCAATTGAGAGCTTACGGCGAGTTGTCATCTGAACTGGTGATGACTAGTGGTGTCCGTCAAGGATGCCCATTATCCCAAAAGTTACTACTCTCACAGATACATGTGCATTTTTGTATACACGGTTGGAATTGTTAACATACGGGGGAAAGGTGGTGGGTTTCTGTCGATTTTTGACTGCTGCACCCCAAAGGAGAGCAAGTTGTCTGGTAGACGAGAAACAAGTTAGTTAGCCATGAGATGTTAAATTCTTGTGTGGAATTGTCACCACAACGAATTATTTCACTCCCTTCCACTCCCTAAGTAGATAGCGTGCTTTAAAGTGACTGGCTCCTTTCCTGTGATTGCAATTCAATACAGAATGGTCTAAGTGATGTTTCGTTATCTCAGTCAGCGGAATATAATACGAAAAGTGTTTTAGTGAATAATACTGCTGCTATAGGATACACACACACACACGTCAAACTAGTCTATGTACACACTTCATCCATCCATGTGATTGTGTCTAATTCAAGAATGAATTAGTGAGTATTAGTAGGAGTAGTAGTAGCTGTTTGTGAGGTGAGTTCAATAATACACAATTCTCATGTAATATATCAATCAATATATGTGTATATGTGTATGTATATGTCTCTGCTATTCTGCTTCTCCACACAGAATCTCTAATCTTGGAATGTACGGTATTCGAGAATTCACTGCCATTGTGAATCTCCCACAAGTAGCTATTCTAGCTGTTGGAACTGGTCTACCTGAAGCCAATAATAATCCCCCCATCTCTACGCCAACAATCGATTCAATAAAAGAAATCAATTTTTCAACGAATATAACACTGACATTATCAGTGGATTCAAGATGTGTGGGTGTGGATTCACCAACAACAACAACAACAATGTCTGCAGGTCGATTCTTACGATACGTGTCACATCTGTTAACCGAGCATCCTCAACTATTGATTCACGATGATCCAATCTATGGATTGCTGGAGAAGAATAAGATTAACAACATTCAGTCTTCTGAGCTGGACGAGTTTGATACAATGATGATGTTTAGAGAAGATGGTGTCACAGAAGATTTGATTTCAATGAAGACAGTATAATTCCAAGCACACACCGACCCCACCCCACTCGACCGCCCTCCTCCCCCCGCCCCGACTCTCATCCCGCAGTTGTTTAGAGTCATCACAAATTTATAGTGTTCACTTGAGTATTTTGAATGTCTGCGTGTGTGTGTTTGTGTGTTTAATGCCTACAGTGTGTTGTTTATTTGTCTCGTCTCTTCTATCACAAATGTAGTTCCTCCTCATCCTCGTCCTCCTCCCACCTTCATCATCATCATCATCACCATTTGAGATGATTCGCTGTCGAACAGCTCCCCTGATTTTTGTTTAGTTTTGTTCTGTTTCACTGTGCTTTGCTTTATATATGACAATTGCCAATCATGTGTGTAGTTTATTTATGAAAGAAAGTGTGTGAATGAATGTTTGAGGTGATTTTTGTAGTCAATTATTTGAATGTATATACACATACACTCATATTATTATTATGATTATCATTATTATTCCCATGGGTTCCAAAGTGGAACATAGGGGCGGCTGGCTTCAACAAAAATATGACAACCACACATCTTCACTTTGTTCTATTTGGATAGTGTTGTCTTTTCAGCTGGCTGGACTCCATAATCTGCCCATATAATCTCTCTCATCTCCTTCTCGAACTGACGCACACGATCTCCTCCATGTCAGAATAGCACCAATCAGCCCAGTCGTCTGTGTCACTTCCCATTCCGATTCCACTATTGCGATGAATGGCCTGCATATTCATTGCGCGTGATATCGTTCGTTGAAATCCCCCCCGCCGCCCTCCTCAATGTATGCCCAATCAAATCCATCACGGATGAATTTTCTCCTACATATTTCTTGAGCGATCGGTTCTTGTCTGTTGATTTGTTACACTGTGCAGAGTTTCTTGTTACTAATTGTTTCTGTCTGGCCAGCCGACTGGCCATTCGATCTTCAATATGGAGCCAGTCGGCCGGGCAGCGAAGGCGGTAGCTGTTGATAAAAGTCTGTATTAGCTTACTGGGAAATCCTTTGCGTCACGCATGTGTATACTGCAAGTCTCCGACCCATATATAGATGAACTGACTGACACTTCACTGACATTTTTTGTTGAATAGCATCTGAATCTTGTTGTCCATGCTGAGGCGCGGAGTGCAGTTCAGAAGCTTTCCAAACTGGTCTCAGATTGATGAAAGTGTGATCTTGTCTTCCTGAATCTGACTCACTGGCTGGCTGGTTGGCTAGCTTTGACATCTTCATCCGTTCCGAGTGCTTGTAGTTGAAACGAGATGCTACAGCATAGCCATCAGATAAGTGAAGGCCGGGGGGTGGGGGGGGGGTAACCTCTGTTGAATCTCTCTCTCTCGTTGTACAAATAAATACCTGTCAGTGGATAACGGATAGTCTGTATATATGTGAGAATTGAGATTTAGAGGAATTCTTCACTTATATAAAAGAAAAGAAGGCGTTCAGCGAAGAGACTCTTTTCGACGGCGAATTCATTCACTGAGCTGTACAATCGCATATATATATATATATATATATATATATATATATATATACAATTTTGTTTGTGTGTGTGTGTACATTAGATTTATAAAGTTTAGATAATTATGTAATGTCTGTCTGTCTGGATTCAACATAGAACTTGGCACCGAAGTGCAGCAGTTCGAGTTGCCACGTTCCAAATAGCACACAGAGGTAGACAAGAAGATGAGTGAAGAGAATTAATAGAGTTTGACAAATATAAGAGTGAAACAGAATGGGTAATGGTAGAAAGGAATATGAAAGATTACAGAGATTGAATACATCTGCGCCATTGACAACGATTTTGAGCCATGTCACCTATTGTCTCCAGCCATTGATTCCTAGAGTCCCGAGGGCCCCAACCCGGGAGTCTGCATCTCCCTACCTGACTCAGTTTAACTGTCAAGGATTTCATGGATTGATGCCATGTTTTTGTTTGGCCACCACTGGCTCTTTTCCAACCTGAACCTATATCAGCTAACAATGCCCGTCGGGGGAGGCGGTGGTTAGGCATGCGCACCACGTGACCTAGCCATCTTAGTCTATGTAACTTTATAGCCTCGTCGATTGATTTTCCCTCTTTGCCCAACACTCTACGCCTAACGTCAACATTACTTACCTTATTAAACCACCTAACGTGAGACAGAGATCGCAGACATCTATGATCGAAAGCAGTCAACCTTTTCATGTCTTCAACGCGTATTGGCCATGTTTCAGAGCCATAGAGAAGGACGGAGCGAACTGATGAGCAGTACACACGTCCCTTGGTTGATAACCGGATGTCACGCCTACGCCAGAGATGGTGTAAGTCAGCGAAAGCAGCTCGAGCTTTTCGGATCCGTGCTGAGATTTCATCGCCAATCAGTCCGTTGGTGCTAATACAACTTCCCAAGTAGGTGAAGTGGTCAACATGTTCTATCACTTCACTCCCTATCACTAAGTTAGGGGTTGACGTCGTCCAGTCCTGTAGCAGCATCTTACATTTTGCAGGGGCGAATCGCATGCCAAACATACGAAGATTGCTGCTCAAGGTGTTCAGAAGACTCTGCATTTTGTCAGCATCCTCCCCTAACAGGACTATGTCATCTGCATATTCTAAGTCCATTAGATTATTCCCTGGTAACAAGTCGATTCCTAAGTCACTACGTTCAGTTAAGGATACTTCCATTAGCATATCTATGATGAAGTTAAACAGAAATGGGGAAAGTGGACATCCCTGTCGGACACCACTGGTTGTTACTAATTCAGATGACAATTCCCCATAAGCCCTTACACGACTACGTGAGTTTGAATAGAGTGCCTTGATTAGTGCAATGTACTTTCTTGGCACTCCCTTCACAGTCAGACATTGCCATAGTACCTTTCGATCCACGGAGTCGAAGGCCGCCTTCAAGTCAAGAAATATGACAATTGTTGGACGCCGAAAAGTGTGTCTATGTTCTAGAATCTGTCGAAGAGTGAAGATATGATCTATGCACCCTCTACCTGGTCTAAAGCCTGCTTGATTTTCCCTTGTCTGTTCCTCCCGAGTTCTGCTTAGTCTATGCATGATTACTGAGCCTAGGATTTTAGAGACTATGTTCGTTAGGCTGATCCCCCTATGATTATCACACGAGGACTTGTTTCCCTTCTTGAATATCGGTATAATAAGTGACTTACCCCAGTCTGATGGCACTGTCTCTGATTCCCAGACTTTGCCTAGTACCTCAGTTAATCTACAAACTAGTATGTCACCCCCATATTTAAACACCTCCGGAATAATTCCGTCGGGTCCTGCCAATTATGTAATGTAAGTATTATTTGGCTTGGAGACAAACGTTAAGATAGAAAATAAAATAGAATTGATTCAGTGAATTGGATGACGTAATACAGTTGAGTAGAATTCAGAGTAGGTCAGGTTGGCAACAGTGTTAATGATTGGTGGTTAAAATTAAATAAGGGCGGGGTTAGAGAATAATACAGTTGAAAATAAGTAAGTTAATCGGATGACGTAACATAGTTGACTAGAAATTGGACGTGGGTCAAGTTAGCAACATTGTTAGATGAGGGTAGAGAATAATATAAATGAAGATGTGAAATAATAAAATGCAAAAGACAAAATAATACAATTAGTAAGACTGAAATTAAGAAAGGCTACTTCCATTGTAGATTTAATGAATGAACGAATTTCTTTTGTATGCAGAGTTCAGGATTTAGCAGATGAATTGCCATTGCTTCTGCGATGTGGAGAAGTTTAATCCGTACGTACACTTTTAGCAAGATTGCTTTGTATTCTGTAGATATAACTTTGAAGTTTATTTCTGATTTAACTTGGTGTCCAGAGTCGATCAAATGTTCAAGGATCGAGCTACAGGGGCATCGTTTTTCTCCTTTGATAAAACCATGAAGGTAAATGTTCGTTGACGCGTTTGGATAGCGAACGCTGAGTACGGCCGATATACCTGGCTCCACACGAGCAGGTGAATTGGTAGATGCACATTCTTCACTTACATTTTTTGTACTGAATATAGTTTCTAACATGTACATAACATATTGTCTCCATTATGGAGGAAATTTTATCTGGCTCAATTCATTCAATTAATCCTACTCCAAATATATATATCGTGGAGAGATGACATGTGGATGACACTTTCATCACACACACACACACAGTGTCTCTAGCTATTCACACACACACTCATGCACATTTGAATCAGAAAATGAATAAGGCGAATTGGGTATGGTGTTAGATTATAAAATAAAAGCAGGTAAAAACTGTATGCACACGAGTGTTTATAAAATGTCAACACATTCTGCTAATAAGATATTTAGACCGCTTTCATTCATCTCATCCGTTCGTTATCATCTGTCTGTAAAGGCAGGTGTAGTTAAGTGTCTAACAACAACCGAGCAACAACATCACTGAGTAGTACAAGAAAAAAGACCGAAATGATGAAATGAAACAGGCAGACAGAGAGAGAAGAAGAAGAATGGCTGGTTGGTGTGTTGAATATCCTACTATCTGACTATCCTATAAAATTCATATTATTATTACTATTATAATATTATTGTATCCTTTAGTTCCTAGAGGAACATAGGCCTTCAGCTGCGCACCTCCATTGCCTTCGGTTTTCTGACAACCTTTTCACCCCGCTCCAAGTCTGCCCACATACTTTCATCTCCTCCCCTTCGCATGACCTCCTCCAAGTCACCCTTGCATTGACGACCAACTCGCCGCCCGCTTCCCTTTCGGCCGGGTTCCACTCGAGCAATGGCTTGTCTAGTGACGCCAGTCACTTGATGGTTTCTCCTCAGCGTACGTCCAATCCATCTCCATTTCTCCCTGCCTATTTGTTTCACAATCGGTTCCTGCTGTGTTGGTTGGTTTGCTCATTGCCAGAGATCCCTGTTGGTGATCTTTTCTGGCCGACCGGCCATCTGATCTTGAATGGTATTGAGCGAAGACAACTGTTAATGAAGGTCTGTAGTTTGTTTGAGATGCTCTTTGTGACGCGCTGGCCAAGTCTCTGATC